TTTTTTGTATATGTATGTTTGTGTTTTGTTATCTTCTATATCTATCGGGATTATATGGCTACAAGTGACTGAAAACATAAAATATCCAGGGCTAAACAATACAGAAATGCCTTTCAGTTTTACATATATAAAATTTTATAGTAAGAAATTTCATATTGGTGCAAAGAATGCATAATCATTAGGTATCCTCTTCTATGCTGAAAGTCACACATGATTTTTCTGCTCACCTTTTTTGGCCAGCCCTTAGGCACATTTGCTCACCTAGCTGTAAAGAACAGCCATATAACCCTACCTAATGGGGGGTGGAAGGGATATGTTTTGTTGTTGTTGTTGTTGTTTGTATGTTTGTTTGTTTGAGTGGCCCAATGCTAGGCTACAACATGTTTTTGTGTTTGCTTTTTGTTTTTGGGTTTTTTTCTACACAAAGAGGGAGAACGGATATTTGGAGATAAATCAGTCTCTGACACATAAAGTCTGGCACTCTGGACTTTCCCAGTGACATGTGGACCTCACTCATTATTCATGTGAAATCCCATAACATACCGTAGTCAAAGAAGAAAGAAAAGCCAGATAGAGAACTATTCCTTTAAGAAAGCTTAGCCCTACTTTGCTTTGCTAGCTTTATACTTCTATGGCTGATGAAAGAAAAAAAAAATCAATGGAAATGTTAAGGTTTCTGTGTACTAGTCTTGTGTTGTTGAACTTCATATAGTTGTAATATAAGGTACTCCTATAAAAAAATTAAATAACCATTCTGTCCACACATTAAAAAAGCCCGGGGGTGCCTGGGTGGCTCAGTTAGTTAAGTGTCCAACTTCGGCTCAGGTCATGATCTCGCAGTTTGTGAGTTTGAGCCCCGCATGTGGCTTTGTGCTGAGAACTCAAAGCCTGGAACTTGCTTCAGATTCTCTCTGTCTGTTCTTCTCCCACTTGAACTCTGTCTCTCTCTCTCTCTGTCTCTCTCTCTCTCTCTCTTTCGTGTCAAAAGTAAACATTAAACAAATTTTTTTTTTAAATCCTGTATCAAGTGCTTGAGTGATAAACTTGAAAACTAAGCTAAAATTTGATTTTGGAAAAGAAACATGCAACCTCAAAATTTTAGGGAAAAAGTAGTTCTCTTTTTAAAGTAAGTTACACAGAAGACAATTTGTGGCAAATGCATATAAAATTGTCTACCCTACTGGACCTCCTTCAACACTGACACCCATTTTGCCAAGAAAAAGGTCCTAATGAGGTAGAGAATAATTAATCACAAACTACATTAATATGAACTAAATGTCCATACTTTCTAAAAAATTAACTGAGGAAGTGAGGAAAATATTAATGTAATATATAATGCAAGTGTGACTTCCTGTCTTTGGAAATTTAAGACATTATAGTCTGTTACAAAAGGGAAATGGGTGATGGGATTTTAAAAGCTAGAGAATAAATCGACAGCCTTGTAATTTTCTGAGGGTACTAGTCAAGCAGCAGCAATTATTTTAAAAGATCATTGTGACACGTGTGGAGTCTGGGGGTACTTAGGATTTAACTGTCTGTCAATAGACAGCCCATCTGTCACATGTGAAGATGCTCTCTCCATCCAGCCTCAGCAGTGGTAATGTCTGCATTACCCAGCCCTTCTGGGCTTCCCAGCCCCACAAGGGCACGCAAACTGAGGGGCATTCAGGGGTTAGCCACAGGTGTCAACACCCCTTGAGAGATGAAGAGAGGGTCTCCCAAATCTTGAGCGCCTGGTGGGGGGGCTCAGTTGGTTAAGCATCTGACTCTTGATTTCAGCTCGGGTCATGATCTCATGGTTCATGAGATTGAGCCCCGAGTTGGGTTCTGTGCTCACAGGTCTGAGCCTGCTTGGGATTCTCTCTCTGCCCCCTCTTTCACTTGTGGTCTCCCCCAAACCCATTCTCTTTCTCAAAATAAATAAACTTTTTTTTTTTTTTTTTTTTTTTTTTTTTAAAGAGAGGATCTCAAAACCTTATCTGTGAAAACACATTTTCTCAAGGCTGGACAACTTTTAGGTGGATTAGTCAACTGCCCAGAAACTGTAAAAACAGATTTAGAAAAAAATGAAAGTGAGGATCATAGTTCTAGTGGTCTGAGGATACCACAAATCAAAGCATCATAGCGATACAGTATTTCCATACTTGAAGTCATAGCCTAAATTTCACTTTCAATTTTCCCCATGTGCTAGGTATGATAAATGCAATAATATTGAAAACCACAAATGCTTATTCTCCTTTTCAGATGGGAAATTAGGATCCAGTGATTTTCCAAACTGGGAAATTAGACAATTCTGCTTTGAATCCAGATCTGTCTGACATATAGACTCATATACATTTTTTAAATTAAAGATTTTAGATTAGAGGACACATTTGAAGACTCCTTAACAGTGAAAAGATTTAGGGGCACCTGGGTGGCTCAGTTGGTTAAACGTCCGACTTTGGTTCAGGTCATGATCTCACGGCTAGTGAGTTTGAGCCCTGCATCAGGCTCTGTGCTGACAGCTCAGAGCCTAGAGCCTGCTTCGGTTTCTGTCTGTCTGTCTGTCTGTCTCTCTGCTCCTCCCCTGCTTGTGCTCTCTTTCTCTCTCTCAAAAATAAATAAACATTAAAAAAATTAAAAAAAAAAAACAAACAGTGAAAAGATTTAGACCTGGGAACATGACTTAGGTCTCAATAACGACAAGATACCTTCTGAAGAGATGAAATTTTATCTCATTATATTTTCCCTAATTGATTTATTTCCACTTATATTTTATCCTCAAGTAACTAGCTCATGGTCTTATTGTTTCATAGGCTGGATCATTATCCAAGTACACATGGTTTTCTTGAAGCTAACTCCATGTGGTCTATTTATATTTTAGTGAAGAGTAGAGATTCTATATTGTGGGGGAATTTCTGAGCCCCTGGATCACAATAAATAAAAGACTACAAACTACTCTGGGATGATCCATTCAGGATCAACAAAGACATTAGCTTCTTGCACCTGAATGTAGTCATCAACCCCAGTCTTGGTTGTTACTCTTAAAAAAGACACATGGGGGCGCCTGGGTGGCGCAGTCGGTTAAGCGTCCGACTTCAGCCAGGTCACCATCTCGCGGTCCGTGAGTTCGAGCCCCGCGTCAGGCTCTGGCTGATGGCTCAGAGCCTGGAGCCTGTTTCCGATTCTGTGTCTCCCTCTCTCTCTGCCCTTCCCCCGTTCATGCTCTGTCTCTCTCTGTCCCAAAGAAAATAAATAAACGTTGAAAAAAAAAAAAAAGACACATGGTATTTCCCTGGGACTGGGCTTCCAGACCATTTGGGGGGCTTTTAAAGTCATGAATGATACTCCTATCATAGATGAAAAAGCTGGAAGCAATCAGATTTGTATCCAAATGTAGCAGATAAAGAACTTGAGATTATAGAAGTCTATTAACTCTGCTTGGTCACCATATTTCATGCCAGGATCATAAGGGCTTCTGAATGATTCAGGTTTTGCTTCTATGTTGGAAGAGTTTCGTGGCTTCTGCCCTGTGATGACTTTGTAACTTGAAACAAAGTAAGGTCTAAGATTTGTAGAGATGAATAAAAAATTAGCATGCTCTTAAACTCTTGGTACTTCTGAGTGCCTGGTGATGGACTCACACTTAATGATGTAGGAAAAAGCTATTCTATTTATTTTATGAATCTCCGGTATTGCCTGTGTGCAAGGGGTAGTATGGTGGAGTGGAAAATGTATAGCATCCAGACTGTGCCAATCCTGATTGGAGCCCTGGCTGTGGAATTTGGAGGCCATATGGTCTTAGGGCAGTCATGTGAGCATTCCAAGACAATTTTCTAAATCACAAATTTCCCACAATAATAACAAATACATGCATAGGGCTGTTGTGAGGGTCTAAGAAAAAATCAGAAGAGGCTGCTTTATAAATTGAAAGGAATTGTTTAAAGGTGAGCCATCTCAGCACTGGGTGGCTCGGTTGGTTAAGTACTTGACTCTTGGTTTCAGGTCAGGTCATGATCTCACAATCTGTTAGTCCAAGCCTGGCATCGGGCTCTGTGCTGACAGTGCAGAGCCTGCTTGGGATTCTGTTTTTCTGCACCCCACCCCCTGCCCCCCGCTCTCTCTCTCTTTGTCTCTCTCTCTCTCTGTCTTCTCTCTCAAAATAAATAAAATAAAATTAAATTAAATTAAATTAAAAAGTAAAATAAAGGCTAGCTGTCTCAAAGCCTTTTTCTAAAAGGGAGTAACAGTGTAAATCCAAAAAGAAAATATATTAGTGTCTTTAATTAGTAACCTTTGTTTTTCTTTTTTTGTTGTTGTTGTTGTTGTTGTTTTGTTTTTTGTTTTTTACAAATGATACTGGTAAAATCAAGGTTAACTAAGGGGAAATCTTGTGACAGTTTGCAGTACTAAGTAACATAGAAGGTAACTGTGTTGTGTACAGATTGAGGAAAGTCTACAAATATTAATTTTTGTTTATTCTCAGCATATTTAACAATAATGAAAGTTTATAGAAATAAAAAATCCCATACATATAAATTCTCCTTCACAACTGTAAGAAGAAATTCTTGTATACGTCTTGAGGCAGTCTTGTGGGTTAATATGATGGAGTAAAAAATAATGTGATTTTGCTATCCTATAGTTAAAATTTTATTTTTGTCTATTTAGCACTATAACACACACGAACTGATGGATTTATTGTCAGAAGGTTTGGTGTGTGTGACTGGTATTTTCTGACAAAATATGGGATACACAACATACATTTTTTCTTCAGAGGATGCTGGAACAGTAGAGGCACGCAGGGCTGCTGAGAGGGGGAGGCACGCTTTGTGCCTGGCAGCTGAAATTGTTGTCTATCCAAAAGACAATGTTTCCTTCCCACTGGGAAAGAATATCCTACATATTACGGTGTCAAAATGAGGATTCTAAGAAATCTGTGTTGAAGTTCCAGAAGTTGCTATCATTGTCAAGTCCTGAAAGCTACATGCTTTTCTACTACAAAGGTCAAACTGAAGCTAATATCCAAATTCCTCAGAAATATAGAAATGTTTATTAACAAAGAAACGTCCAGACTTGACATTTAAGAAATTTCAATGGATGAAATATGAGATGGGTCTTTGCAGCAACCTTCCTTACTTCTTATTTCTGCAACATACTCCTTTCCTTTAAAATAACAATTCCCGAGGTCTGTCATGGGCAATGATGTCACTGAGGCAGGAGTGCTGATCTGCAAAGGCTGCTGTGTGAACAAGCTCCAAGCTCAGGAGCACAGGGATGAACTGGTCTCTGCATAGTACAGTAACAAATGTGACACATAACATCAGTTTTGTTATGAATCAGAAAATTAATAAGCCTGTCTTAATTATTAAAATGACAATGATTACAATTCTGTTGGTAATATTTTAATGTTGCTAATGAAATTTAAAATATTTACAAATTATTACAAGGTATTTCTTGGACAATACTCAGCAGTGGAGCCAGTTAGTAGTAATACCAACAGCTGAGTCCTGTTGAACTCAAACTGTATGCCAAACTCGGTCCTGAGTGCTTTATTGGCTTAATTTATAATTGTCATATAAAATATGTTAAGGCTTTGCAGTGCATGGTTGGCTCGGTCAAGTAGGTGTCTGACTCTTGATTTCGGCCCAGGTGGTGATCTCACGGTCCATGAGTTCAAGCCCCACATTGGGCTTTACGCTGACAGCTCAGAGCCTGGAGCATGCTTCAGATTCTCTCTCTCTCTCTCTCTCTCTCTCTCTCTCTCTGCCACATCCCTGCTCTCCCTCTCTCTGTCTCTCTCCCTCCCTCTCTCTCTTTCAAAACAAATAAAAACTTTAAAATAAAGATATGTTGAGGCTTTGAGAAAGTAGGCCATTTGCTTATGATTATTAATTCAGTAAGTATTGTTCTGGGACTCATAATGATCAAATTCCCAAAGCCACATTGTTGATGATGACACTGCATTTCCACCTTCCCACTGCTCACTTTCTGTTTGGGTTTCATAAGCAACGTGATGTGTAGAGGAATATAAAGAAAGCATTGAAGATATAGTCACAAATACTGGGTACTATTTGTAAATGTGAACAGGATCAGAAGCATTTTATGTGGGAATAAGGCTATTTAAATAATGTTTCAAAGCTATCCTGTGGTTTTTTTCTTCCTTGATTTTCCCCCAACCAGTGTGGTCAAAAGAAGGCTAAGTTGGCAAACAGAGTATACAATTTAGTTGTTCAATTAGAAGCTGCTTATGCAGCAAGGGCGTTAAGCATGTGCAAAGCATCTTGACAACCCCTGGGAAGGATCAGGGAGTTGTCAAGGCTTACTCCCTGGTAATCTCCTTCCCACAGTGGCCACACCTGAAACCAAAGCTGGGCAATGCTTTTGGCTTAGGCCATTGCACTGTCTGCCACCCGGTTCCCCTGTTAGATTTGCACACGCTTTTCTTTCATTAGGAAAATTCATTCCCTGTGGCTCCCATTCACCCTTACCCTGAACACCAGTGAAGGTTCTGTCCAAGCCCCATACTTCCGTAGCAGCTCAGACTAGTGCTTTTTCTGTCTCAGTTCTTATTAATGAGGAACGTGCCATCATGCCTCTAATTGACATTCTTGTATTGTTTTTACTTCTTAAAAAGAGAAAAAACATCCTGCAAGCTCAGGGACAAAGTCAAGGGCATTGTCTTCATCCTGTATCTTGGAACAGACTTTATACACTCCCACACATACTGTATGGTAAAATGAAGACTTGTTAATTGGTGCATTTTTACCAATTGTGCTCATTCATCTGTTTATTTTAAAAATAGACTCCAATATAGCTTCTCCACTCTCCACCCCTATGTGACATAGGTGTTAACTCCCCTGTGACCTCTCAAGATCTAATTTAACCCAAAGATTGCAGTAGCATGAAAAGCTGAGGTATTTTGTATTAAGAAATGTCTTTTAAATGGATACAGTGTGAATCTTATATTCTTTCCTATTTTCTCTCGCTAAATGTGCCATTAGTATATACTTGTGTATTGGGATGACCCCTGTTCCTTGCATTTTTACTACACAAACAGTTCATAATATTTTGTTTATAAATTGCCATTCCCCAGGAAGAAGTGGTGCATTTTAAGTGAAGAGCTCTTAGAGATCATCTTCTTGAGGAAAATTATTTCCCCTTTTTCAAGTAGGAAATGTAAGAAGTCTTATTTTATCATAATTCTCCACATTCCATCTACGTTAAACATTTGCATTTTTCTTGTCTCAATGTATACAAGGACTGTGACTTTTCGAGACACTCAGATCTGCTTAGCTGAAAAGTCTTGTTACTCATGACTCAATACTCATGAGGAAATAAATAGCACTCAGATTTGTATCTTGGTTGACAGAGCAGCTCCATTTTCGTTTCCTGGACATCCTTTTGGAAAACACATTTCTTTCACTTACTGTAAACCTTTTATGAGTCCTGTACTATCATAGGATCTGGGCTGCAACGATTCGCATTCAGAGGGTCCCTGACCCCCAGGACCTGCATTTTAGGGGGACATATAGACAATTAATGACAATGATAAAAATATAATAAATCCCTGCACTTTCTATGGCACAATTCTGAAATTAAAAAAAAACTCCTGAAAACCTAAAGTTTTGTCATAACTCCTCTGGAGTCTCCTGACCTGAATTAACAAAATACTGTGTATAATCTTTGTTCATCACAATTAGAGTCAATATTCATATCTTTATTTACAGAAATATCAACGGGCTTGATCTGGGGTCACTGTCCCAGGTCCTGTGGGGAGCAGAATGGAAGTAGAATATATATACACTGTATTGCTTTTCTAAACATAGAAAACATCTGAATTCTCAGAGATATTTGGCTGCGGGTTTCAGGTAAGTGACTGCCCTGTATAATGTGGGTGGTGATAAATCATGAATGAAATTAAGGAGGGAAAGTGATAGGAAAGGCTTTCCTTTCTTGAATTTTAGTCCATTGGCTCATTGTTGCATTACAGCTCTCTGGTGTCTTTAAAATACAATTTATTTTTGTTCTGTGTTTGTTCTGCGGGGAAATTTTGGCCCTACTGCACCTGCTGCCTCTTACCCCAAAGCAGAGTCCTGATACACGCGTCTTTTGAACTACAGATGCAGAAAAAATAAATATCCTCAAATCTAACCACTGGGCTTTGGCAACCATCTCTACTTGCATAGATCTGTCTGTTTTAGAACCTATACCCAGGAGGGTCTTGGCTCCTGGGACTATTGACTTCATCTCTCCCATTAGCATCTGGCATTACCACGTCACTCTCATGAGGAAAGACAGGGATGGCAGGATGTACCTAATTTCTTTCTGACGCCTGTGGTATTATTTCTGTTAGCTTCTCAGCAGGAGTCAGATGAGTTGTGGCAGGTCTTCTGGGCAATATGGCTATAGCTGTTTTCTTCTCTCTACTCGTGACTGAATAATGTCACGTTGCATATTTTTATTTTATCATTTTACATTTGTTGAGTATTTTTCTGAAGTTTCTTCTGAAGCTGGTTTTATTGTAAAATTCTCTTGTACACATTTGAGTTGAAATATATGTGGAATAGCAGCTAGTTGACCTTGATAATTTAAACTCCTTGAGCTTTTTAAAAAAATCATCTTTAATTGAGAATGATTAAATAAACTTGCCTATCAATATCACTTCATTGTTGCTGCTGTTATCCTAAGTTTTTAATGATTTCTACTCACTAGATTGTTTTGAATATCAAATGTACTGACGGATATAAAAATTATATGCATATACAGTACTAATTTCTGTTCAATGTTATTTATGGTTCCTGTGACTAGAATAAATAGGTGACATCTATAAATATCCCAAAAGAGAATTAAACCAAGAGATAATGACTACAGAATAAAAATATCCATTTATCAATTTTAGGAAAGAATGGCTTATAATAGAATACATGTGAAATATATGAAGCTTAAAAATTGGAAAAATGTCAGATTTGATGTTAGGAAATGAAGGTTATGAGATCAGAAAACTTATCAAAAATTAGCATGACATAAAATACAAAAAAATGAACAAAATTTTTAGGATTTTGCACATGCTTGTACTTTTGCTTTGGTGACAAAAGGAACTTAATTGTAACACGTAATCAGAGGACACAGAAAGGTTTTTTTCGCTCTTACCTGGTGCAGTCAGCTTAATAACAAAGCTTTGAAATGGCATATATCAAAGCATTTATATTTAAAAAAAAAACCCAAATTTAAAGTAGTGTCTGGAATAAAGTATCTGTTATGATTTATTTATAGTTGAAATTTGCATTTTTGCAAATCATATTTGTTATTTCAGACAAAATAAACTTAAAAGTCAGATTTACTCTAGATTGCTTTTCTACCTAGTTTTAAAGTATACATTAGACAGGTTGGTAATAAAATATTCAAAAGTGGTTTTAACTACTTGTTTTCAGTTGTGATAATAACAAAGTGTCCTTTTCCTTGCTTCTAGCAAGTCCAGAAGCAAAAATCATTTTTAACACCCAGATGGCATATTTTTAACATTCACTGAAAGCAGGAATAATAAGCTGGCATGCCGTGTTGCCTACCTGTCAAGCCTGCATGAGTATGTTCACAGTTCACATGAAGCTGTGTCTATTTTGAAACGATAATTGCATTGTAGTAATACAAATACAGCTTTTAGAGTGACAGTGAGGCAGTCTGATGTCGAAGAAGGAAGTCTGAAGTGGAAAACAGGACACTGAGTTCTGGGTCTAACCCTGCCACTAACTCTGGGAGGAAGTTTGTGCGAATCTCCTAACCTTACCAGACTTTTGCTTCTTAGTTTTTTTTTAATGTTTATTTACTTACTCGGAGGTGGGGGGGGGGGTGGGCAGAGGAAGAGGGAGACACAGAATCCAAAGCAGGCGCCAGGCTCTGAGCTGTCAGCACAGAGCCCGATGCAGGGCTTGAACTCACAAACAGTGAAATCGTGACTGAACTGAAATCAAAAGTTGGATGTTTAACCCACTGAGCCACACGTGTGCCCCAATTTTTGCTTCCCTATTGGCTAAATGAAATGTTTGGAGTAGACAACTTTTAAGATTTCTGCTAGTCCAAAAATGTTTTAATTTGATAAACCATGTACCCTGTTGTGCAAAAGAAGTATTTGTTTTTCTGTCAAATTTTATAAAGTGCCTCTTCTGCCTGGTATCAGACAATGGGATTTTGGTGCATGTGCACTAGATTTTGTTTAGTGACATTTAAATCCAGTTAGTGATTGTCCCTTCTTTCTCATTCATTGTAGCTGGGTGGTGTCAGGTGGGGTCACTTGACCTCATGTATCTTCCTGTGCTAGCACCTGCCCACATGGACACTCTCTGATTGGGTCCTTGCTATGCATGGTCTATCTAGGTCACTCTCCCTATGGTCCCTCTTGTTATGGTCCAAGATACTTTCAGATCTTCTTCCTCTCTCTTTCTCTTTCTGCCTCCCTCTCTTTCTTTCTCAGCTAACTGTTATGGCTTTCTTGGAGGCATGAAAAAATACCAGCTGCTGTCTTGGGAAGACAAATGGAAACATGTATATGCTACTTGGGCCAGTCTTAGCGTACACATACCTCATAGCATGTCATATGAAGAGCCCAATATAGCTCCTGAACCTGGTTTGGGAAGTGGGGTAAGGTCCTCCCCACTCTCAGATTCTCGAACCTCTCAGGGGGCATCCTGCGCCCCTGCCCGGGACTCTCTGAGCATGATGGCAGGATAGGTCATTATCCAATTTCAGTAGACATTTGTTTTCTCCAGCAGACGAGTATATTATTATTTTCATCAATCAAGTAAGATGTATTTCCCACTGTTGGGATGTATCGGATGATAGATCAAACCACAGCTGGTTCTGTTCCTGAAAAGCATCATAATCCTCCTTCTTTCAGAATTAAAAACAAGAGAAGAGAATAGACCAGTTATTATTAAAGATAAACTACAAAATTCATATTTGTATCACAATTTGAACAGTTGCAAAATCCTGTGCTTCAGACAAATATCCTGAAATATTTGTGCCTACCCATTTCTTCTTTTCCTTTGTCCCTTTCCAAATGAGTAATAAATGCATTCTCTTTACCTATGGGGATCAAATTTAGTTTAATTTCCCATTACATCTTATATTTTGGCTATTTTGAACAGTTCAGTTTTGCTCAGTTATGATTGTTTTGCAGCAATATAGAACATCTCTGAAGCTTTCCATTCAAATGAGGAGAAAATCATCCAAGTGATTATTGTCTTTGACATAATCTTGGGAAATGTTGAGTATACGTGTCTTTCTATGTATCCTGAAAGATGATGAAGATGAAGATGAAGATCTAAGCCTGAATTTACACATCAGGAGTTGGTAATGGCTCCATTAGGCTGTACTCTGTTTTCTTCAGTGGTATTCTATTTGAATCTTTTTATTATTTGATAAACACTTTAAAAAGCAGACTTCTTGAAACTAGAATTGGAGTAGCGAAAAGAGACAAGCTGCATCACAGTAAAGCAAATGGTAGAGATCTGAAGTAATTCATTGGTTCATTTTTTCTGTGGAAAGGGAACTCTTTTTATTTTTGGCAGATTACCTAATGGCTGAATATGCAGACTGTGTGTTTGAAATCCCAGTGAGTCTTCAAAAAATTCATCACAAGATGCTGGGTGAAGAAATGCCTGATCAGTGTACAGTGCCTCTGTCTTAAAAGGAAAGAAGAGAAAAAAACTGCTCATGTGGAGAGAATATAGAAGTTACTTGATCTGAGAACAAAAGCTCCCATCTGTTTACTGATACCCACCTCCCATGGACTTCAATCAGCTTCATCTTCTCAGCAGGAAGAACTTGTTGCAGGATAGAAATTTGAACTTCACTAATAGTATTAAAGGGGATCAAGGCTTTCATAATGAGTTTAATACCTCAGATGCAGAAACAGTTATTGGACACTGCAGAGTCTTAAATGATTCTCTTGGCTTGGTGAATTTTATCTTTCCTACAGGTGGAAAGTTTTAAAGTGTATATATTTATGTAGATGTGTAGTTGCTGGAACTAGAAAGTAAATAGGTGACCATCACAATGTTACATAAGTGGTTTCACTCATGGGTTGAAGAATTGGGGTATTTGGATCCCCAAATAAGGAACTTGAATTATAGTGGATTTGATTATGAGAATAGGAACATTCTTCCCATAGCATCCTTGCTTCTTTTCCTCTCTTCTCTACCCCTTCTAATTTCTGAAAATATAATGAATAATAATTACAAGTTTTGAGTGTTTTCTATGCGTCACGTAATGAGCCGTTTACTTATACACGCATTTTCTCATTATTTCTTACCATAATCACTTGACATAAGAAATTCAAAGCAAAAAGGTTACGCTACTTTTCCAGGTCACACCTGGATGAGACGCAGGAAATTAAATTCAGGTGAAATTGATGAATCAGTTGAATGATACCACCCAATCCCTCCTTCCTACTCTATGTAGAGCAGTTTAAAACCAATTTCTTTGCCTGGTTCTCAGGTGTACTTTAAGGGGCTGCATAAGCACTGAAAGATACATCTCGGGGCCGATCCTGCTGCAAGAACAGTAAGTGCCAGGAGAGCCCCAGCCTGGCCCAGCCACAGGCAGAAGAAAGAGAGCATGGTCTCCACCAGCCCTTCACCCTCAATGCTGTCGGTTTCCAAACCTCTGCCCCCCCACAGTGCCCTGCGGCTCTCCGCCCTGCCCCAGGCTCGCCACCCCGCCCCACCCTGTGGTTCCTGCCCCGCCCCCGGCTGTCAGCCTCGCCCCGCCCCGCGGTTCTCTGCCCCGCCCCACGGTTTCCGCCCCGCCCCCGGATCTCCGCCCCGCCCCGTGGGTCTCCGCCCCGCCCCACGGCTCTCCGCCCTGCCCCTCACGCTCTCCACCCCGCCCGGACGCTCTCTATCTGAGGACCTTCCTTCCGCGTGAGGAGACGTAATCAGTCACCACAGCCGCCAGCCGGGCCCACAGGCCGCACCCGAGCTGCAGACTGGAGGAGGAGACTACAGCCCACAGGTGGCGGCCCCGGGCCTCCCCTCAGGCCGCCGCGTGCTGACGCCAGAAGATTCGCGACCACCAGTTCTCCTCAGAAGCCTCAGGGCGTCAGAACTCAGCCATGAGCTGTGTGGACGGGGCCCGGTGCCCCTTGTGTCCGTGTGGACGGCACGCCGCCTATCCCTACAATGACGGGACACAGTCCGGACAACACGTCCCCGTCCCCACGACGACGGGACACTCCCCGGAGGCGCCTCAGCCCGGACATCCTCAGTGTCCGTGTGGACGACACGTTCCGGTCCCCATGATGACGGGACACGGCCCGGATACTTCTCAGTTCGGACATTCTCAGTGTCTGTGTGGACGACACGTCCCCGTCTCCGTCCCCACGGTGATGGGACACGGCCCGGACAACCTCTGTGTCCTTGTGGACGGCACGTCCCTGTCCCCACAATGACGGAACACGGCCTGGAGGCACCGCAGCTCGGACGTTCTCAGTGTCCATGTGGACGACACGTCCCCGTCCCCGTCCCCACGGTGATGGGACACGGCCCGGACAACCTCTGTGTCCTTGTGGACGGCACGTCCCCGTCCCCACAGTGACAGGACACAGCCCGGACAACCTCTGTGTCCTTGTGGAGGGCACGTCCCCGTCCCCACAATGACGGAACACGGCCCGGAGGCACCACAGCTCGGACGTTCTCAGTGTCCATGTGGACGACACGTCCCATCCCCACAGTGACGGGACACACACAGCCCGGACAACCTCTGTGTCCTTGTGGACGACACGCCCCTGTCCCCATGGTGACGGGACACGGCCCGGACAACCTCTGTGTCCCTGTGGACGACACGTCCCCGTCCCCACGGTGACCGGACACGGCCCGGAGCCACCTCAGCTCGGACATTCTCAGTGTCCGTGTGGACACGTCCTGTCCCCACGGCCCAGACAGCCGCAGCGTCCCCGCGGAGGACCCTCAGCGTCCAGGACCAGGCTCGGCTCGTGCAGCCCTCACCGCTGGAAGAAAGGGTAAGAATACACCACACTTGGCCACAACACGTGTCCACCGCTTTTTGGCAACATTTACTGGTCTGTGAACACACTGGGCAAAAGGTACTTTTAACGTGTAGACGAGGAGTTGGAAAATCACGGGTTTTGCGCAGAAGTGTCCTCTGGAGAGGACTTTTGTGTGTGGCATTGCTGCACCATGTCCTGCAGCGGCCCTGCTGGTGACGCAGGGCCGTGTGGTGTCCGCGGGTCAGAGGAGACGGGGCACGGGGCCCCGAGGGGGAGGCTTGCCCAGGCTGTACTGGTCACACTGAGGAGACGCGTGCCTCTTATTCCTGTCACCCTGCGTGTGCACTGTGTCCCCACCCTCCGCGTTCACTCGGCAACGTTAGGTACCTTTGGGAAGTGTCCCGTCCCTCTAGATAAAGTGCCCTGTGTGCCTCAAGCAGAGGTTGTAAGTAACATCGCTCGGATACCCTGTTATTAACATTCCTACAAATGCTGCCTTGCGGAGATGCGAAGGCTCCACCGGGTGTTGGTGCAGTCGTGTCGGTCACTGTCCGAGGAGGGAGAGGACGGGGACTCCACCCAGGGTGTGCGGAGGCAGTATCCATCGTGGGCCCCTCTGCTCAGCACTTTTCATTGTGCACATAGTGTGTGGAATGGACACGCGGGTCCTCCTCTTACAGCTAGTCTTCTTACATGTTAGTAGGTTACCAGACCACAGAACGGTTAGTAAACGTGCGTTTTGTAAATTTTGCGTTAAAATTTATAAGGCGGTGATCTTCCGAAAATGACTGGTGGGAGGGAAATGGTTAAACTTATGTCTTAACAAAATCAGTCCTTGAGGCCTGTGGATTCTGTTGTCGTTTCTCCTGGTTTTCTTAAAGAAACATGGGCTCTGGAATTAAACTGCTTGGTTAGAGTCTGCGGTCAAAAACTTGCTTAAAGTTCTCCAAGTCTCCCGTTTTCCCATCCATAAGATAACACAACAATGTCATTGCTTCAGTGAGTTGTTCTGAGATTAAAGCAGATGATAAATAGGATGACTTGGAAGGGCCACTCAGTGGCTCGCAGTCACCTCTTCTAGTTGTGTGTGGCCAGGGGTTAGCATGTTTATAGGAGAGCAGGAGAAATTAGGTCTGAAACACCGGCAGAACCGGGGTTGAGAAGAGCCTCCTTACCCGGTTAAGAAGATCAAATTCTCTATGTAAAGGGAGCCATTTAAAGATCTGCTTAGGATGAATGTTTGGTAAATCTTGTGGCCGATCTTTACCAACAGAAACCAGAAGGCCCGATGTGGTACTAAATGTCACAGTAGGAAACGGAAGTGGTAGGGTGGCATGAATCTGAAGAGACGTGACTTGTGATAGACACACTGAATTTTTCGACTTGTGTTGAGGAAGGGAGAGAGATCCAGGAGGAATTCCATTTCTCGTGTTTAGATGACTCAGCAGATACAAGCGGTAAGACAGTGAATACAAAATAAGAAGTCCTTTTAGCGCGTAGATTATAGCTAACACAAACTTGGAATATGTTAAATATATGATACCTAAGAAACTTTCAGGTAGACATAGACACTTTAACCTGGAACTTGGAAGTTTGGGCTGAAGTTATTGATTACAATTCATGAGAAAAATCACGATGGTTAAAAAATGAATGATCCCACCAAACTAATAAGAAAAAAATACAGGTCAAGGATGGAATTTCCAGAAACAATATTTAAGAGGTGAGGCTAGGAAAATATTCAAGAATAATCTGAGCCATCATATAATCAGAAGAGAATGGGGTTGAGAGGAAGTCAAAGAATGAGCAAATTTTTTAAAAAAAGGAGTGAATACCCAACAGTGTGAAATTCTGCAGAAAGGAAGTAAGGTAATAACTGAAAATACCAACTGGATTAGGTAGGGAAGATGTCCCTCATCTCGGCAAGTGTGGGACGAGTAGAGAGAAATGGACAGAAAGCACATGGCAGCTTAGCGGGGAACAGAAGGGGAAGAATTGCAAATATGAATGTAGACCAGTATTTTTCTTAAAGTTTAACAAATGGCAGGGACAGAGGAGCCATTAGCTAGAAGAGATCTCGCAACTGAGGGAAGTGGTTTATTTTGTTTCTTCTAGCTTTTAAGATGAGGAAGACATGTTTTTAGGTGAAAGAAGGGAGACTATGGGGAATATGAATTTACAGAAGAAGGGGCTTGTTTTATCATGTCTCTAACACTTAGAGACCCGTTTTTGTTTCGCCCAGTCATATACTCATTTCCCTCATCTAAATATTTCTCCTTTTTCCTTAACCCT